GCCTGATCTGGACAAGGAGACGGAAGCTGCGGGCCCGGGACCTTTCACGCGCAAATATAACAAACAGAATACCCTCCAATAATAGAACTCTGCAGAAACCACCAGGAGCACACTTACTGACTCTCGCGACAGCTTGAACCCAGACACGGGCCTCCAAGATCAAAATGTCTCCCGAGAAAGCCAATTTTCCGTGCGTCATAAAGACGCCGCCGATCAGCATGAAGAATGGCTCCAGGGACCCCAGGGAAGTCGCCGCGCATTCCCCCCAACCCAGACCGGCGCAGATCAGTGGGATCTCTGTCCTTCTCATCTCCGCCCCCCCAGGCGTCGGCGGACGGGCAGCGGGCGAAGCCAGCGGCGACGAGGGCGCTAGCGCGAGCAGGGGTGCCGCCGAGACGACGGAAGCGAGACCGTTCGAGCACCCGCCCAATTTTCTGGGCTTCGGACTGACCGAAGTCGGAGAAAGCCAGCCGCACGGGCTGGCGTCCACCGACAACGCCCGCGGAAGCCACGGGCGGCCCCACTCCGACCGCAGGAGCGGCATCAAGCCCAAGGAACAGCGAAGCTCATCTCGAACCGACTGCCAGACGTCGTTCTTTGTCCAGTACCGCTCGCGGATGAACGTATAGACGGCGCGCCGCGCTGAGAGGGCCTCGCACCGCGAGCCCCCCGAACGTGCAATGGCCCACCAGCGCCGCGAGCTCACGCACTGCAAGGCGACGGAGTGCAAGAGCCCAACAGAGCCCCAGGCGAACCTTCCAGCAGCGGCGGCGGCTGGCGAGGGCCTGGTGCGTCACGCCTGGCCCCTAGTGCCCCGGCCACCTCGGACTCCGCGGGGATGTCGCGCATAATGGGGCCATGATGAGACCAGCCTCGTCAAAGGCCGCGGCGGTGTCGGAGAGCCCGTCGCGCGTAGTTCGGATCGAGCGAGAGAAGGCCCAGGTTGTCGACGTAGACGCAGTGACAGCGCCGGCTGGGTGACGTCTCGATGGGGGGCCCGCGGCCAGTAGCCGCGTCACTTCCCGATAGCGAAGACGCACGTTCCACCGCGCCGAGGTTGGCGTCCCGGGCAAAGTGCAGCGACCAGGTCCAGCCCATGGGCAGCGCCAAAGCGCAGGGCCAGATGCAGTCGTCTGCGAGGGCCACCGAACCCCCGATCTCCTGCCCAACGACGCCAAACTCCTTCGCAAGGCCGCCGGGGTAGCAGAAATACTCGCTCAGCGTGTTACCGAACAACGCACGGTAGAAGCAGTTCTTCACGTCGGCCTTGCCTGGGGGGATGGGCGGAGCACCGTGCGCACTGACGTCAAACTCGATGCGGCCCAGCCCCTCAGTCGTCAGCAGGTCGACGCCAGGTGGGGAGACGAATCGCTGATTCGAGCGACGACAATCAAGTACCATCCTCATGGAGAGCCTCTCTTCTTCCACACGAAGGAGACGCCCACGAACTCCTTCGGGGTGCGGGTGAACCCCACCAAACCGCGGCGTCTGAGATCACGAAAGTGGAGTACCTGCGCCGGCTACCAGCCAGCGAGAGATCCGTATAAATCTTAGTATCGGTCCTGATCATCTGCTCCTCTGCTTCAACCAAGTGCTGACGGGCGCGCCCCTGCGCCAAAGAGCCTACAACCGGGGCCGTCGTCGCGTCATAGGGCAGGGAAACGGCGCCCCGACGGTAGGGCGCCAGTGTAGCGTAGGCCGTCTCAGTGTCGTACACATCGCGGCCTCGAAATAGTCCCGAGAGGCCTCCTTCGGGTTAAGATCGCCAAGTGGAGCGCTATAGAGCTGAACGCCCTTTGCAACCCGCCAGAGCACAAAATGTTGTAGTTGAAGCTGGTAAGGGTGTATGTCTGTTCGACCACTGAGATCGAAACCGCGTCGTCCATCACCCCACAACCAATTAAGAGACTCGACGCAACCACGCCATTCACGAAGGAACCGTCGCTGTTGACAGGGAGCGAATTGGATCTAGTAGTCCGATGCAACCGACGGGTCGACAGGTAGCGGGAACAGCTCGCCGGATCCGCTTGCCGTCCTTGAAAGGCGAGCGGTGGTGGGGAGGCCAGTCCTCCCACCACCGACGATCATGTCGCTCATGGTGGCTGCGCCTCGTCTGGGCCACCTCCACCTCTCGGCCCCGTGGATGGAGCCGTCGTTGGCGTCGGACCTTTTGGGGCGCATGACTATTGCTCGACCTCGTCCTTGAGGTTCCTCGCCACATATACTGGTGCCTCGGGCGTATGCCAGCCTACGCCCGACCCCACATCTGAGTACAACCTCGAGTGGTCGCTGCCCAGGCCACGACGGATCACCTGAGAGAACATCCACAATGCTCTGGATGCAGCCGCGCACGGCCTCCGAGAGCGCCGACCAGGGTGTATGGACAAACCCACAGCACACCCTGAAGCAATTCACGCCAGACACTCCACGGACCTCGTGATACACCCGCTCGCTGGAGCTGACCTTCCCGCTGCTCAAGCGGGAACCAGAAGGGTAGCTCCCGTATCCCGACTCGCGCCAGCTCTCGAACCGAATGTTCTGTGCGACCCTGTTCCACCAGAGCGTCAGCACGTCATCGGACTCGGCTGAAGCGAGGGTGAAGGCACGAACAGCCGCATCAGCACGCTTCCCGGCTGGCACCAGCACGGCGCGACGTCCGAAGGCCGAGGAATGTCCAGAGACTCCCAGGGCGTCCATGTCGAAGGCAGACGCCCTCGACGACACACTGACACCGATGTTGGCCAATGGAACAGCCTGGACATTCAGCGAATCACCGTCGCTCTCCAGAAGGGTGCCAAGCACACACACACACACACACCGACAACATCAGACGTCCCCCAGTCATCTTGGTGGGCCTTCTCCCAGTCCCTCTCCTCTGTCACGTACAGGTGGGGGCCAGGGGTCTCCACGATCTAGCCGACTGTCCCCGACCAGCGGTCCGCGCACGCCGTACCCGATGCTCCGACCCCAGGGCGAGGGGGCCGCCGAAGGCGACCAGGCATCCATCGCGGCCAGGAGCCTGAGGGGGCCATCGAGCGCGAAACCCCTTGCCTTTCAGCTTGAGCCCCGATGATTACGAGGACCAAGAGGCGTCAGACAGACGCGCGAGAGGCGACACCCACAAACATTACAAATCATTCCCGCGCACGCACTAACATTGTTTCCCCCCGACCCCGCCCAAAAGCCGCCCTCAAGACTCTTTTTGGGAGGTTTAGAGGGGGTCCCCTTCTGGACCCCCCAAAAATCCCCCCTCGGGGAGGTTCCGGGGGGGTTCAACCCAGGAAGCCTCCAGGAGGGCCCCAAGACGCCCCAAGAGGGCCCCAAGACGGCCCAAGAGGCACCAAGAGGTCCCCAAGATGGGCCCAAGCGGGGGAACACGGACGGACGTTTCGAGCCTTCTGCCCCAAGATGACCCCAAGAGCCCCCCAGGGGCTCCCGAGGCAAACCCATGACGCCGCAAGAGGCCCCCAAGAGGCCCTCCAGAAGCCCCCAAGACCCTTCCAAGAGTCCCCCGAGAGGCATCTCAAGACACCCTCATATGCATCCAAAAGGCCTCTGAAACACAGACCAGGCACGGTGGCGGGATAGGCCGAAGGCCATCATGTATGTACACACGTGCGTACGTATGTATGCATGTATGTATGTGTGTTTATGTGTGCCTGTACGTTTGTATGTGTATCAGCATATATGCATGCATGGACGTATGCATGCATACATCCATGCATGCATGCATGCATGCATGCATGTATGTATGTTTGTGTGTTTGCATGTATGTCTGGATGTGTGTTTAATTACATGTATGGATATAGGTATGTATTGTCGTATGTGTGTACGATGTATGTATATGTGTGTTATGTGTGTATGACTATGTGTATATGTGTATGTGTGCATGTTTGTGTGTATGTGTATATGTATGGTTGTATGTATATGCGTATATGTGTATGGCTACATGCATGTATGTATGTATGTATGTATGTACGCATATGTGTGGATGTGTGTATTTATGCATGTGCATGCATGCATGTATGTATGTATGTATGTATGCATGCATGCATGCATGCATGCGTGCGTGCATGTATGCATGTATGCATGTATGTACGTATGCTTGTACGTATGGTTGCGAACTTAGACATGCATGATCGAATGTATGTACGCATGTGCACATCCATGTGTACATTCATGCTTGTATTCATGTTTGTAAGTATGTATGCATGTACGTGCGTATGCATGGATGGATGTATGTGCATGTATGTTTGTGTGTACGCACGTATGTATGTATGTATGTATGTATGTATGTATGGATGGATGGATGGATGGATGGATGGATGTATGTATGTATGTATATATATATGCATACATATATGGATGCAGGTATGTATGTGCGTGTATGCATGCATGCATGCATGCATGCATACATGCATGCATGTATGCAGGTGTGCAAGTACATATGTATGCATGTGTGTATGTGCGTACGTATGTGTAGATGTGAGTATGCACGTATGTACGTATATACATGTGCACATGCATATATACGTATATGCAGGGATGCATGTGTGTACTTGTGCATATATGTATAGTAGTATGTACGCGCGTACGCATGTACGTACGTATGTATGTATGTGTGCATGCATGTATGTATGTGTATGTGTATGTTAGTGATTGTGTTTGTGTTGGTGTGTGCGTGCGTGCGTGCATGTGTGCGTGCGCGCGTGTGTGCGTGTGCGGGTGTGATATATATATATATATATATATAGAGAGAGAGAGAGAGAGAGAGAGAGAGAGAAAGGATAGAGAGAGAGAGAGAAGGAAACAACCAAAACACAGTTGTGCAGATTGCGGATGGAGACCGAGCAGGAGAGGGGAGGGCCCAGGGTTGCTCCAAGAGGGCCCGAAGGAGACTCCGACAAGCCCCCCCCGCCCCCCCTGGGACCGTGCCCGGATGCCCCCCAGCCGACCTGCAGGCACCATCGGCATGGCTTTCGAGCTTTCTTCTTATTTGCTTTGGGAGGAGAAGGGGGGAAGCTGAAGGGAATGGCAGCGCGACTAACACTCGAAGCAGCTCTCCAGCGAAGCACCGCCCCAGAGTCAAGCCGCTCCAGCTCGGAAGAGACGCAGCATTGCCGATCAGCAAAGCTGAGCCCAAGCTCAGTGCGACGCCACGAAAACTTCAAAGCCCGACAAATGCAAAAGGAGAGAGGGGAAGAAATGACTACGCGAACGAACTGCCACAATGCATCCGCCCATGGCGTCGGTCGAGCACCCTAGCGGCCAAAACGATCATAGATGATACAGCTAACGCTGAATAGAACGTGCACGTTGAGCTGAAAGCGCTGCCAGAGGATCGGATGGGGACGAATATCATCCCGCAAAGATCACCATATGGGAGCGCACTTCCAGATAGACGCTTCAAGAGCCGCTGAATAAGCAGGACCCAGGAGATCCTGCTGCTCTAAGAAGATGCACCGAGCAACTGCCCGAATGCAAATCTTGGAAGGCTTCGGGAGGCTCGTAGCCTGTGCACCGTCCTCAGCGGTCTTGAATATCTCATGACCTTCTCGAGAGCCCCTAGAATTATCTCGGAGGTGCCTTCGGCAATCCCTTGGTAGCCCGGGGGGTCAATGGTATGGGGCAATTCAAATCATCTAAGGGCTGCCAGGGTCAGTCGAAGGTTTCTTGGGCGCGGCCTTGGGGATCCCTCAGGCCGTCGTGTGCCTTGCTGGGAAGCGCTGAAGATGTTGCACGACATACAGTACAAGACAGATGACGCCGCTCACTCTTCTCATGGAGGCGACATCCAGCATGATTTTGCGGTGTAAGTATGCGTACAGGGCGAATCCCCCAGCTGCTTTCGGCAAGCGCCCCGGCAGGCTCCGGGAAGGCGCGCAAGGCAGCCACGAGGAGGACCTAGGGCAGCCTAAGGGGGGATGCCCGAGAGCCCCTAAGAGCCTGGCAAAATCATGCTGGGATTAGACTCGGATGCCTTTGGGGGACGCTCTTGCAGGGCTCTTGGTAGGCTTCTGGGGGGGCCTCTTGGGGCTTCTTGGTGATCTCCTGGTGGCCTCTAGGGACTTCTTGGGGGCGCCTCGGGGGCCTCCCTTGGGCTCGTGGCGGCTGGGCTCGAAATGTACGTTTGGATCCCCGCTCTTTCCCATGGACTGGGGCAATCTTGAAGGTCTCGTGCGCCGACTTGGCGGCCTCTTGAGTCGTCTTGGCGCTTTCTTAGGTCGCATTCAGGCCGTCAAGGGGGGCCTATTGGGGCTGTCTTGTGTTCTTAAAGACCTCTTCGTCTTGGGGCATAAGAAGGCCGAAACAAGAATAACTCGAACACGGTCAAGAAACCAAAAGACAATTTATGATTTGGGCATCCCGTGGCCCTCTTGGAGGTCCCCTTGGTGCCCTTTTAAAGCGTTTAGGGGCCATCTTGGGCCTTCTTGAAAAGCTACGTTAGGCTTCTTCGAGCGTTCTTATGCCATCTCGGGGCCCTCTGGGCACGTCTTCGGGGCCTCTTGGGCCCCTCGCCTCTCGTGCCTACCTTGAGAACCCTGTCTGGGCGCTCTCGGAGGTCCCCGAAGCGCGGAACCCGGAACCCCACAAGGGGGGCAGCTCGATAGAGCCCTGCCCCCGGGATGTCTCTCTCTTTCTCTCTCTCTCTCTCTCTCATATATATATATATACCCTGCCCCACCTTTTTGCGTGCGGACACGCCAACGGTCAGAGTAGGCCAGCCCCCCTCAAATCCCCCAGCTACTGTACGCGCCGGGATGCAAGGGTACCCTACGCCACGCATTACCTAGGCGGCAAGCACGCGGCGCCTACCGCACCGCGCGCTTGCCACCTAAGGCGTGCGAGGTGGTCCTCCACCGTTCGCATACAGCACTCTGGGGAGGGGGCCTACGCTATCTTTTGGGCTACGGCACCAGCAGAAAGCGTGCCTCAACACGGAAGGGGTGGACCGCGGGTGGGAGCCCAAACAGGCTACGGACGTGTTGGGGCGGCGTGTCCTGGCCAAAGGGGGGGGGACGGGTATACGCATACAGGGGACCAGTATACAGACATACCCTGCCCCACCTTTTTGCGTGCGGACACGCCAACGGTCAGAGTAGGCCAGCCCCCCTCAAACCCCCCAGCTACTGTACGCGCCGGGATGCAAGGGTACCCTACGCCACGCATTACCTAGGCGGCAAGCACGCGGCGCCTACCGCACCGCGCGCTTGCCACCTAAGGCGTGCGAGGTGGTCCTCCACCGTTCGCATACAGCACTCTGGGGAGGGGGCCTACGCTATCTAACTCCCCCACCTACTGGCCTTAAGGCTACGTAGGCCGTCCGTGTTTAACTCCCACCCACCCCTGCAAATGGCATATTTATGCCGGTCCTTAATTCGGGGGTGTGCGGGGGGGCAAGCCACAAGACTGCGAGGGGGGGGTCTGGACACGCAACCCGCGCCAGGCCACAGGCCTGACGTGGGGCAGGCACCGCACAGGGCGGCCCCACGCGTGCCAGACATCCCTCCGCAGCCCCTTGGTTTGGCCCCCCCAGCACACCCCCCTACTCCACGCCCTTCTCCAGCCCTTACACTCCACACGAGGAGGAGGTGACGGGGGGAGGCGACGGGAGGAGGTGAAACGATGCACGGAGAAGGCGAGACGGGCGTGGACCCCAAACAGAGAACGCCCCACACAACGGGCGGACCCAGGGGACCCCGGAAACCAGACCCAGAAAGAGAGAGAGAGGGCCACGCGGCCCCACGGCGGGAGGGCGGTTGCCTTCGCCGAAGCGAAGACAAACGCCCGATTTTCGGCAAGCACTGTTGGGCGCGAGAGTGGCCTTTTACAGTGGCCAGCTGCAGGAGCCGCAGTCCCCGCGCAACGGCGCGGGCTGCCTCGCTCCCGGGCTGGGCGCGCACTGAGTCGGCCACCGCGCCCTCGATGTACAGGCGTGCGGTGGCGGAGGAGGCCCACCGACCCGCCACGAGGGTCGCCTCCATGGAGCCGCTCCTGACGAAGAAGGCGCTCGCCCCGCCACGTCGCAGGCTGTGCCACGTGATGGGCCCTGCCAGGCCCAGGCCCCTCGCCAAGGCGCCGAGGGCACCGCGCAGCTGGGACGGCGTCCGCCATGAGAGCCGCGCGCCTGCACCAAGGCCGCGGACCGCAATCCGCAGGAGCGCCACGGCCATCCTGCTGCGGACGACGACCGCCTCCGCGCAGTCCTTGCCCGCCGTGGTCTTGGACGAGCTGATGCGGACTATGAACAGCTCGCCGCGGTCGACGATGTCGCCCACCGTCAGGGCAAACACCTCTGCGCCTCGGAGCATGCCCTCGAAGCCGACGAGAAGGAGGGCGGCCACGTCGAAAGCACCTGCAGCGCACGCGAACCCTGCCATGGCCGCGACGGCCTCGGTCGTGAGCGGCAGCACCCTGGACGCTGGCTCATGATGCCTCCATGCCTTGAGGAGAGTCCAGCTCAGGTCGAGGTGTCGCCTCAGACGAGGCACCGCGAAGCACACCCCCGCCAGCGTGTTGTTGGCGGCCGCGATGCCCGCGCCAGAGGCCCACAGGCCTTCGAGGTACTCCGCGACGAGGGCGTCTGCGTCCTCGGGGTCGCCGCGCAAGGCGCCCGCCCCCGCCTGCTCGGCCCCAAAGTGGGCCAGCAGCGCGCGCAGGGCCCGCCCGTAGCGCCGCCGCGTCTCCGCTGACACCCTCAGGGAAGAGAGAGTCTGGCAGCGCGTCCCGCGGCGTCTCACGGGAGCGGGCCTGCGGTGAGCGGCCGCGCGCGCGGCACGGGTCGCCCTCGCCTCCTGGGCTTCGAGCCACGCCACAGCACCCTCCTCGACGGCTCGTCCGCAGGGTTGTCCTCTGAGACCACGTAGCCGATCAGTGGGTACATGTCGGCCGCCACGACGACGGCCATCCAGCGCTTCAGGATGGGCTGTAGCTTCCTGCTGCTGCTGCGGCCCTTTGTCACGATGGCCGCGACCACCTGGCTGTCGACGAGGTGCAAGAACCTGCTCCCGTGCTGCGCGACCTTGCGGGCGCGCCACCTGATCGCCGCCGCGGCCGCCTGCAACTCTCTCACGTTTATGTGGGTGGAGCTCCGGCCAGGCCACGCCATGCTGACCACCACGCGCCACTTCCACACGAACGGGTCCAGGCTCGTCCTCGGCCAACCTCGCGGGCGGTAGGGGACGCCGTAGTCCAGCCTGACGTCCGACCCGCCCTTCTCCGCGCGGCTGAGGTAGTGCAGGACCAGCTGCCTCGCCCCCGCGGTGTCTGGCTCTCCTGGCTCCGTGACGAAGGCCCCCGCCTGGTCCCACGTCGCCCGGCGCACGCGGACGGGGGGCACCTCCTCTATCGACAGCTCCCTGTTCAGCGCGCCGCGGCGGTGCAGGAGCTGCTGGCACAACCATGCCACGACGTGAATACTGAAGCTGTTGCCGAGGAGGAAGGCCCTGGCGTCGGAGGCGTCCTGGGGGTTCGAGCCCTTGGTGGCTAGGGAGGTGTACCCCACATCAAAGCCAAGGAGCCGCTCCCTCCTCGCTGGTGGGGAGGCGCAGGAAAGGGAACGAGGAGGTGCAGATCATGTTTTTGTCCTCGTACAAAGCCACATGATACCTGTGCCCGTCCGCAGCCCACCTTTGACGAGCCGTCTCCGATGCAGCCGCGAAGCCACGCGGGGCAGAGGGGAAGGAGGGCTGAGGCCTGCAGCAGACGAGCGTGGGGAAACACCTTGGTCTCCCTGGCCAAGAGCAGCCCTCGTCTTCCCACGCGAGGTCCATGAGCGGGACGCCAGGGCCCACCAGCTCGTCGTAGACCCCGCGGTCGGTCAGCCGAAGAGGCGCCGATGCGGTGACGCCCCAGCTCGTCCAGAACAGGCGCGGCCTGCGACACGGCACGAACACCGACGAGCACACCAGCGTCGGCCTCACCTGCAGCGCCTCCGAGATCAGCTCCACGTTGGCGTCGGACATGCTGGCCACGTTCTCCACGAACCAAACGAGCCTGTCCTTGAAGACGGCGGCGAGGAGAGCCAGGATGCGTGGCACCTCGTGGAACAGCGAGGACTTCCTGCCGCTGAGGCCGCGCCCGCCGACGTTGAGGCGTGACAGGTCCTGGCAGGGGCTGCCCGCTGCGACCACCACCAGGTCGACGAGGCCGCCGAACGCCTCGAACAAATCCTGCACCGCCTCGCTGCCCACACGGGTGATGTCGCCCCAGTCGATGACACCTGGCCAGCGGAGTCTGACAACTCGCCTCGCCTTGGCGTCCGTCTCGGCCGCGACGAAGGCCGCGATGCGGACGGGCAGCCTCGAGAAGGCGACGGCGAGGCCTCCGATGCCGTCGAACAGGCCGATGAGCAGCACCGACAGCACCCTGCGGACTGCCCTGGCGGGGACGCGCGGGTTGGCTGCCGCCCACGGTCGGGCGGGGTCCTCGGGCATGTTGAGGAGCCTGGCCCCTATCCCCAGCTGGTCGGGGACCGTCCTCGGCACCTGCAAGGCGGCGGCGACGTCCTCGCGCAGGCCAGCTGACGTGCACACGCCGCCGCCCATCTCCGACGCGTCCGAGGACGTGACCATGCCGTCGATGCGCGCCCGCAGCGA